CGGTAGGTTAGAACACTGCACTGAGAATCAGGCAAACTAAAGCAATAACAATACTTTATTATTCAATCAGTTCATAAAACAAGGGGCTCACGTTGGCTACCTCGCAGCACACACAAAAAAAAGGAGCACAGCACCCGTGAAATAAGTTAGGCTACGATCTCAGAGCGATAAATCATTCAAGCTCATCACAGCACGGCACCAATAAGAAAATCTACACAGCAATAAACATTGCAGTCCTGACCATGGAAATACACACGTGATAAAAACAGACTTCCGGAATGTATACAAGGCCCTGGCAGCCTTCATGGCCTACACTGCAGCCCCCGCCCACACAACATTACAAGAGGAATTAAAATCGGACTTCCCTGTCCACGAACAGCGAGACCCTGCCATGAAGAGCAGGTCCCAAGGCTGTGCTGGTTGCAACGCGTATGCCCAATGTAAGCGCCAAGCTGGTGGGGTACTTCCACTGGCGTTCGTCTACTCCACTGATCATCAACTGGCGGCCCGCGGGCCGAATCAATCCGGCCCGCAACTGGATTCCAAAATTGTGAGGATCAAAAAGAAAATAGTGGTCCACACTATTAAAGCAACTAAAAATAACAACAACTGAGTCTCTTGTCAGAATAACCACCATTTATGACTATANCATGTCCCTTTGGGAAGCAAGGTGGTCACTGGTGGAGAGAGAATCCCCTCCTCTTTTATTGTCATTTTTAGTGTCTGGCCCCAAACCACCAGAACTCAGAAACACAGTTTGCTTTCTAATAATATATCATTGTAGCTCCAAGATCCATCTGTCTAGCATTACTATCCTAGTGAAGACATTCGGCAGATGAAATCAAGGCAATCAGTGTCACACTGTAACCTCTGAATACATGGACTGCAGTAATCAACCACTGAACACGCACCATATTTATACATACAGCCATGTGTCACATAATGACGTTTCGGTCAGCGATGGACCACATGGACAGCGGTGGTGTCATTAGATTATAATGGAGCTGAAAAATTCCTGTGTCTGGTGATGCTGGGCAGTCGCACAAATGAATAGCACTTAGAATTATCTGCAGTACATAATACTGTAATAAACATTCACTTGCCACTAGAGGGCAATATTGGAACCTCGGTGAACAACAGGTCAGGCTGCCACCACCTTTAATTATACCCTGGTCTGGTCCGGTAGGTTAGAACACTGCACTGAGAATCAGGCAAACTAAAGCAATAACAATACTTTATTATTCAATCAGTTCATAAAACAAGGGGCTCACGTTGGCTACCTCGCAGCACACACAAAAAAAAGGAGCACAGCACCCGTGAAATAAGTTAGGCTACGATCTCAGAGCGATAAATCATTCAAGCTCATCACAGCACGGCACCAATAAGAAAATCTACACAGCAATAAACATTGCAGTCCTGACCATGGAAATACACACGTGATAAAAACAGACTTCCGGAATGTATACAAGGCCCTGGCAGCCTTCATGGCCTACACTGCAGCCCCCGCCCACACAACATTACAAGAGGAATTAAAATCGGACTTCCCTGTCCACGAACAGCGAGACCCTGCCATGAAGAGCAGGTCCCAAGGCTGTGCTGGTTGCAACGCGTATGCCCAATGTAAGCGCCAAGCTGGTGGGGTACTTCCACTGGCGTTCGTCTACTCCACTGATCATCAACTGGCGGCCCGCGGGCCGAATCAATCCGGCCCGCAACTGGATTCCAAAATTGTGAGGATCAAAAAGAAAATAGTGGTCCACACTATTAAAGCAACTAAAAATAACAACAACTGAGTCTCTTGTCAGAATAACCACCATTTATGACTATATTTAGGCTACACTCCGAAATGAGGACAGACTCAGACAGACTATGCGGCGTTAAGCATTTATTGTTTCAAATAGGTTTTTAAAAAAAAAAAAAAAAATGAATGCATAACTTTTCCTCATGCCCTTACTTAACATCCATCCATTGTCTGACCCGCTTATCCTACTGGGTTGTGGGGGGTCTGGAGCCTATCCTGGAAGCAATGGGCATGAGGCAGGGAACAACCCTGGATGGGGGGCCAGCCCATCGCAGAGCACACTCACACACCAGTCACTCACACATGCACACCTAAGGGCAATTTAGCAATGCCAATTAGCCTCAGCATGTCTTTGGACTGTGGGGGGAAACCGGAGTACCTGGAGGAAACCCCACGGCGACACGGGGAGAACATGCAAACTCCACACACATGTGACCCAGGCGGAGACTCAAACCCAGGTCCCAGAGGTGCGAGGCAACAGTGCTAACCACTGCACCACCATGCCGCCCCCTTACTTAACATTTGTTTTTTTATTTCTAAGTGGCAACAACAATATCTCTAAGTGGCAATATCTCTAAGGGGCAACAACATGCTTGAAACTAGCAGACTCCTCAGGACTAAAAAAAGGAGGAAAAACAATCTGGCACAACTTAAAATAGCATGGTAAATAAATAACCTTGTACCAGAACAAAACAGGTCACAAATAATGTTCGCACATCAAATGAAACGTTAAGT